TTTTGTGAACCAAACTGCATATTTGGCTGTGATGCAGCATATATGCAGTTTATTCGGTACATGCAGCTTATGACATGCTAGTGCATTATCTTATTCTGTAACATTGATTGTAATCATATAGCAGAGTTTCCCCAAGATAGTTTTGTTATCCCTTTCCTTCGCTATCACCATATAAAATGGCAGCTTGTCTCGGGGAGATTAAAATTTGATTTTGCGACAAATTTTAGTCCTTAGTTTTCATGTTTGAACTAAGAATATTGAGAGCGTAGACTTCCATAGTACTTGTGCATTATCCATATGTTGGGGGAAAGTAATTCCTGGAACTGTTAGATATTTAAGTCTTGATTCCTGAGATATATTTTTCAATTCCATTCATGATCTTTTTACCTCTTTCTGTAGAACATAGGCATAAGTTCGGGGAAGGTGTTTTTACATATACTACCATCCATTGGAGCATGTCTTTCTTTCTATGAAACATTCTTGCTGCTGGAGAATAGCCTTCATGGTTACTATGCTGAGCATCATGAATGGTTCTTCAGATGTTCCCAATTGATTTCTTGGGTAAGCAATCTAAGTACAAGGAACCATCTGCTGTGAAGTTCATTTCTCTCACTCTTGCTTTCCATTCTTGCAGTTTCTAATTTTGCTAGTTATGAAGTTTGATCGCTGGTTTCTTATACTTTGCAATCTGGGCTTATGCTTCTGGTGGATTACGAGACCTCTGTTTGCAATCCCTCATCTGTACACTGTGTTTTCTTCATCAAAGGTACTGTTTCAGAAGTTCTAGATGCTTCTATCATTCTTTTGTGTTGTTACTTCAATTTTTCACATATAGTTATAAATGCTTATCTGCAATTAGGCGATGCTATCTTGTTATGCATCATATCTTAAATTTGCGACTGCATTTTTGATTTAGTTGTTGGGTTACACAATTACATAGGCAGCAATCATATAAGCATGAGGCACATATACAAGCCCGACAATATAGACAAATCCTCGGAAATAAGTCCAACAATGCAAGATGATTGATTGAGGAAACATAGATGAAGTATCTACGACCTAGATGTAGCGATAATGATGGTTGACATCATAGAGAAAGTGCTATATTCCTTCCTAATTTAAACTTTATATTCTTGATTCTTGATTGATACTTGTGATTCCAGAATATTGATGATTGATTGAATATTTATATAAATTTAAGGACAAATTTTCAAAACCAACCCGTTTAGAACTTTATTTTCAAAAATCGACCCATTTAAGATTTATTTAGCATTTTCGACCTAGTTCAGCCAGCTAGCTGAAACTAGGTCGAAAATGCTAAATAAGTTATGAAAACTTTATGGGATCTAGAATCCTGTGAAGTTTAGTGCTTAATTAATCAGCGCTAAACAGAAAAACTTGGCATTGGCAGGGGCAAGGCAACCAAACTTCATGGGATTCTGAATCCCATGAAGTTTGGCTGCAACTTCACGGGATTCTGAATCCCGTGAAGTTTGGCTATAACTTCACGGGATTCTGAATCCTGTGAAGTTGCAAGGTTCAATTCACAGAGAGCTCCAATGGAGCTCTCTGTCAAATATCATTGCAACTTCATGGGATTTAAAATCCCGTGAAATTGCAGGTCATGCACCAACATGCACGCAAAATGCATTTTCCGCCTAATTCACAACCTGTTGTATATATTGAATTTTCCGCCTCATTCACAACAACATACACGAAAATCCAACCATAAACACGAAATTTGCTGCATATATACCGAATTACGACAATATATATGAAAACTCAACCATAAATCACAACAATATACACGGAAATCACATATATAGACAAAAATCGATCCTAATAAGCAACAATTTTGAACAATCTAACCATATATATTCTTGAGATTCAGAATCACAAATTAAACATTATATCACAATATAAATATCATATCACAATATAAACATCACATACATCCTAAAAGTCCCCTCCTTCCTCTCCCTCTCTTACTCTTCCCCACCTCTTTCCCCCTGTTCTCGCCACCGATATTCATGATCATGATCATGAGCCTCGATGATTTGAGCATCTGGTTGCGTATGAGGTTGAGAAGTATTGGCTCCATCATCACATGCCGCACTATGAGAAGTGTCGGTTCCATCATCACGTGCCGCTCTAGAACCTATCTTACGACTTCTTGTGTACACTCTTAAGAAATTGGCGTGACCTATCTTTACGTCATTCAAACTCGTCGACATGATTCCTCTAGAACGCATTTGCTATTCTATGTTTGATCCTATTTAAAAAGACTGATAACACTCTTGGATCCTGAATCTCAACAATATTTTCATTTATGATCTATATCGACCTCAGTCTCATCAAAAGCATGGATCTGCAATTTAATCAGTATAACGCAGCTTACAAATAATATAATTACATAAAAAGAATATTCTATTTAATTGAGTTTAAAAACTTACATAATCCCTCTCGATCATGCCTCTAGGGATGTAAGTATCAGACTATGGGCGTGATACGTATCTAGCTGCTGGGTGTGGGGTGCGTACTACCCATTTATGTGTGATATTTCAATACCAATGCATATACAAGTTATAACTCACTGGATTTCTCTCATTCTCTATGAGATTCTACCTATTATTCCACCTGTTTATGTAGGGCTCACGGAATTACCCCCAGTCTACATGATGTGATGTCATCCATCGTATAAGATTGATTTGCTCAACAGGATTTGACACATGCTGACCAAGATGAAATTGCCGTAGAACATGATATGAGACATGCATCTCCACAATCTCCCAACATATTATCAGGACTCTAGCTCTACACAAATCAGCGCTACCTCTGCAAATAGGTGCAAGAGTGTTGATATTGAGATCTGGCGGAGAATAGGGTGTCCACTTAAACTAAAAGTTAAATTTAAAAAACATGTATCAACGTCTACAGAAAAATTAAAATATAAATGATGAATTGAGTCTCATTTTTACCTGTTGATGTTGGAGGACATTTAGCTCATTTTTGTAAAGCTCCATTTGTTTGGTCGTGGTATTGTATCTTGAGTGCTTCACATTATACCTATTTGGCATAAAAAAAAAGAGAACGAATTCAATATGAATAAAATTGTCATAAAAATAATATTAAATTCACGCATTATTATTTTACCTGTCCTAAGACAATATGTGGGAATGATAATCTGTCTGAATGTATAATACGTGAGGTTGGATTGATCCAGAATCCATAGTGTATTTCTCTGCAATTAAAATACAATACGTTAAATTTCCTAGTTGAATGACTTAATCATATGTACTCAATCGGAAGTAAGCAATACAACATATATCAACATACAAAGAGCACACTACATAGATATCTCATTCAAGATTAAAAATAAAATGTTATATATTACAAAAACCATAGTCACATATTTCATACAACCAAGCCCCAAATAATCAACTCTTCAGGCTAGTTGGACAATTGTTTTTGTTATGACGCGGTTGATCGCACCTATTATACTTAATTTTCCTCTTAACTCCTCATCCTTCATCCATAGTATTTCTAATTCGTACGGAACGAGGTCGCTCACTGATCTCTTATACACAGGATGTAATATTCGTGGGCCGTTTTGTGTCTAATGTCGACTATCGTATGATGGACGAAAACACTCATTGTATGTTTGTTGGTAATTATTAGTTGAATATCACTCTACGTCGAAAGTATAATGTGATATCCTTGCACCCCTTGTAGATCCGAACAAGCCACTACAACATGGGCACAAGGACGCCATTGTAATTGCGGTATATTGTAGGTGCATGTACAAGTATGATCCTCTAGTATATTGACTTTGTAAGAGCGACATTTTCTATATGATATTCCCTCAATGACCTCTCATTCATTAAAATTGCATCTAACAACACGACATGATCGAGCATAAACAATCTGATCCGCTAATATGCTCTCAACTTTCGGTGCCTACTCCGATGAGATATTTTCTTCAAGTGTACATCGTCTGAGGAAGAATTTATTAAGTCTGTAAAATATTTTTACAACTAAGGATTGTATTCGCATACCACAACTTCCCCTAAGCATACCATTGAAACTCTCAGAAGCGTTTGTGATCATCATTCAAAATTATTTACCGTCATCTTCACATAAGACCCACGTATCAACATTTCTCGGACCCAAACTAGACTCGATCGAATCATGTGCAACTTGTGAAATGGACTTAATCTTCTTCTATAGTTTCTTATAAACTAATTTTTTCATTACACATCCAACTTGCCAAAGAAGATCTTGGAGATGCTCTTGTCCATGTTTCCTCTTGAAGTTGTCCCTAATATATCATAAGCAATAGCGATGTTGATGCGGTGATGAAAAATATTGTTGGAGTGCTCTTAGAATTCATTTCATCCTATCAGATATGAATGTAATCGATCGCGTTCACACACCAGTATATGATAACTAATACATGTAAAAAACCATGACCAAATTTTGACGTTTTCAATATCAACCACTGTAAAGGGCAAAGGAATTAAACCACCATCTGCATCTACTCCGGTTGCAACGAGCAAAACACATATTTACCGTACAAGTGGTTACCGTCAATGCTAAGAATATGACGATAAAAATTGAATCCCTCGATGCGAGGACTAAATGCCTTAAATACCCTCGTGAATTGTCTATCTCCATCGTCAACGGAATCCGATGATACTTCCTACACTGTCCCTGGACTTTCTTTTTTGAGTGCTTCAAGATAATGTGGTAATATCTCATAAGATTTCTCCCAATCTTCTAATATTTTTATCATCGCCTTCCTCCGAGCATTCCAACACTTGTATGACACGTCCAAGGTGGTCGCTTCACATAGTAAAATACGATTATCCTTTGGCATTAGATCAAGATCGTCTCTTAGTTTAGGCATAATCAATTGATATATGAAAGAGGCGGACACATGTCTATGGTTCATCTCTAATCAAGGATTACTACACGTGTGAACTCCGTTGTAGTGTGTTATTTTAAATTGCCTACCTATTCTTACCCCCAAGCGTAAATTAAGCTCCTAATGACACTTTGTATTCCGTCATGGTAACCACCAGCATCTTTTTGCTCACCATCTTTGTTGTAAAAACAAATTACATTATAGCTTGTTAGTTGTTGCATTGCTTTTTGTCACCTTAAACTTGACATTTTTTATGGATCATAAACGAAGTGCATGAATCAATTTCTCCTTGCTTTTAAATGGATCACCCTTTCTGAATGTGAAGTCATCGCCTTGTCTCTCATCATTTAAAATTGGGTCAATATGAATATTTTCCATTGTCGAATCATCAATCCATCCATTTCCATGAAGTTCATCGAGCAGTCGATCCTCTAATACAACATACTTATTGTTAGAATAATATCGGTCAATTAATTGGTTGTCTCATTCATTATGATCTATCAAACACGTCTTGCTATTAATTTGTAAGCCGTTTTCTTCATCATCATCCTCGGATTCGACACTTGTATTCTTCTCTTTTATAGTCACTCTTGTAGAAGGCCTTATATCTTGATAGGGAGTGTTATCATTGAAGGCACTTGAAGTCCCCACAAGCGAAGGCTCGCTCAAGTATTGTGACTGTGTCCATCCTATATTCCGTTGCGGAGACAAAAAAATCATTTGAGTCAACTTCAAGGTCCTCCAACATGCGAAAGTATACTCTGTCGTGATTCACCGCTTTGTCCAAATTTCTATGATGTTTTTCAATAAATAATTCCATCGAATGCTTCTTGTTATTCAATATTCCGAACAAACTTGAATGCACCTTGTTATGTTCCCTGTAATGGGATAATTGCAAATCACATTGAGGTTCCTATCATACGAACAAAGAATTAAGATTTGATCGTTCATCGTTACCTCTAAGGAGTAAAAGTTTTAGTATCAACTAGTATTACACGAAAAACACTAAAAATATTATATACAATTAAATTCCCTAATTTAAAATTTTGTACTCAAATTTTACAATTCCATAATTTTTAACATAGGTCAAACCTAATATTTTCATTTCCCTAATTTTTACAATTTAAATAATTTAAACAATAATCACTTTTAACAATTCATCCACTTTTAACAATTCAATCACATTTAACAATTCCACACTTGTATTTTCGTGTAAAATCACTATTAAATAATAATCACTTTTAACAATTCAACACTTGCATGTTCGTGTATTATTTCTTCATAAAATTTAAAAATAATTCAAAAAATAATTAAAAATCTAAACTAAACAAGCTCTTATGATGAATAGTGAAAATGTGTAAAAAATTAGAAGAAATAACAAAAAAGTTAAAAGATTTTTCCAAAAATTAGTTCAAGCCCTAAATTTGTGATTTGGCGAACTCAGGTGATTTTTGGCCCTAAAGGAGGTTGGCGGTGGTGAATAGAAGTGATCGAAGATGGTTTGGATGGAGGGGGATGGAGTATAGGCGGCAGATCTAGGTTTAGGGGGGAGAGGGAACGGAGACGAGAGAATGAACAAAAGAGAGAGAGAGAGAACGAGAGATGGAATGATGTTTCACGTGAGAGAGAGAGATAGGCTGGGTAAGTGTAGTGGGGTTGCTGACTTCACGTGATTTGAAATCCCATGAAGCTGCAGGCCTAAACCGACAGAGAGTTTCAACTCTATCAATTGTACTCTGCAACTTCACGGGATTCTGAATCCCGTGAAGTTGTCGGCGAACTTCACGGGATTCAGAATCCCGTGAAGTTTGGTGTTATTCCTCCTCCGCCACACAACTTTGTTTAACGCTGATTAATTAAGCACTAAACTTTACAGGATTCTAAATCCCATGAAGTTTTCATAACTTATTTAGCATTTTCGACCTAGTTTTAGCTAGCTGGCTGAAACTAGGTCTAAAATGATAAATAAATATCAAATATGTCGATTTTTGGAAATAAATCTCAAAAAGGGTCCATTTTGAAAATTTATCCTAAATTTAAAGTTAGGTTTGTTTGGACTGATTTGAAAAATTAATTTTGGTATTAGTAGATTTAAAAAACGGTTATCTGATAGATTCTCTATTATCAAGCATTTAAAAAAGAAAAATGCTAGATAGTGAAGATTTACATGATATTGAGGTCATTTGTTGTCTGTGTTTTATTTTCTTTCTTGAACAAAAGTAGAACCAGTTATTATAAAGACTTGAAAAGTTTTATCTTGCAACAAGTTTCAAAATTGTTCTTTTTTGAAAACATGATTTTTGTTGTTTAAAAAAGTAAAGCCTTAGATATATAATTCTACCCTCTGCTTTGCTGATCTCTAATAATTAGATCTAAGGAAGCATTAGATTCTTTCTTTTATGTTGTTATTTAAATAAATTTTAATTTCATGGAAGTAGTGTATGTGTAGTTAATTTCTTGCATAATAGCATAAATCAATTAACTTACTGTCTGTTTGTTTGCACAGAAATAGAAATAAAGTAACAAAAGTAATAAAGGTAGAGTCTACTTCTGCTACCTCTGAGAAAAAAGGATTGTGTGTTTCTCTAGAAAAGCTACTTCCGCTACTTCTTAAAATGATTATGTGGTGCCTATGTACATTCTACTTCTTAAATCTCTTTCCCTCCCTCAAGGTTTGAACGTTCCTTAAAAAGTACCTGAAATATGCATAAATTTAGGAATAAAATTGATTTTTATATTATGTGGATTTTCTTCACTCTAAATAAAATCTTAAAAGATCCTCTTTCTTTCTTCCATATAATATTTCTAATAGCTATCCAAACAAAAAAAAAAAAAAAAAATGAAAGGGAAGAAGTAATCTATTAACTAACAAGCTCCTCTGCTCTTTTGACTATGAGCTGTATAAAGACAAAAAAATCTCCTTCTAGGTATGGATAAGGATAAGAATCAGGATCTGGGTTTTGCTTTGAGCGCGAGGTGATAGAGTTTAGGTCAAGACTAGAGGTAGAGTTCAAAATTAACTTCCTTGCCAGTCTGCCCTTCGTCATTGTTGATTTGCTTTGAATATTGGACCAAAGCTCGATTGACCACTTCATCATCTGATGGAAAAGCTCGCTATAGAGCAATAGTATAGTGACAAAGAGAGAAATCCTCATTCTATTATAAAGGGGGCTAGTAGCAGAAACAATTATGCTACAAGTCTTGTAACGTAACTCAGGTCATTTCCACTACTTCAAAAATATGTGAAACAAACAAAAAAGTGCTACTTCCTACTTCATAATTTTTGAAGTTACTTTTTCAATCCACTTTTTACTTCTGCTATTTTTGTCATCCAAACAAACCCTTATTGGTAATTTTATAGTTATGAATTTTGCCTAGAGATTTTTGATGATTCTAGATGCTTCATGATAGAGATGCTTCATGATAGAGTTAGAAAATTTCCTTTAGAAATACATGTATAAAAAATATTTAATTGATTTGCTAGGAAAATCTATGTCCTTGTATCTGCTTTTTCAAATGGTATTTTATCATATCCGGTCAGGCAAACCTAGCCGATAAGAGTCTAATTTAAACTTATGTTTTTATGTAGAAGGTGCTGCCATTTTGTATAGAGAGTTGTTTGGTTCTTTCTGAAATCATGTTTGGTTTTTTAATCGTCATGATCAGGGCAATTCGAGGATTTGCACTACAGAGGTAGCCCTTTTTCCTTCTTTCTTTTTTAACCGTCGTCATCATATGTTTATGGTATTGTTAAATAGATACAAGGCAGCGTAAGTTTGGATTTATAGTTTTTTTTAATTAATAGTAATTGTGTACATGCTGATAGTTCCCTGGTTTGGATTCAAAAAAAAAAAAAATAGGGATCATGCCTAGTTTCTTATCATATATATTCTAACTCATCACATATCTAACCTTTTCCTATATACATCTGCCTTAGTTTCTAATTATTATATAGTGATTAACCTCATGTAACAGTAAAATTAAACCCCACAAACAAATATTATCCTGGTGATTATTGTAGTCCTGTTTCATGGATTATGAGTAGTGATGTAACATAAGGAAGATTGAAAAAATTGATAAATTGAACAAACCAGAAAAGAATAAAGATTCTCCCCTACTTCAATGGATTACCAACTTATTTGTTGGATACATTTTGGATTTATTTTGACTAGAAACTAAAATTTCGATGTTCAACATTTACTTAATAGTTCAATATTCAACATGTACTTAATGGAGACTTGGAATGTTCTATTCTTGCTGAAATTAAAGCTATGCATTCGACACTCCACTATTATATCCAAGGTTTTAAGTATTGCATATGGGGAAATATCGGATGATCAAAGTTCATATTGCAGGGATGTATGGTAAATATCAAAGTGATACATTGGATGATGTGCATATATAATATAACATTCTAAAATATACCTTAAATATACTTAACTAAATCTAAGCATATAAAATATAAATAATATATGTTTAGGATCGCTAATGAGCCTTTTAGAGCAAATAAAGTCCAAATCGATATTGCAACATTCTGATCGATCATTTTAAGGCCAAAATGTAACTTGATAATTAGGAAGATGATGATATGCCGCGTAAAAATTAACAAAAGTGGTATATTATTTTGTGACAAGCTATATAAAAGGACATATTGGTCAGCATATCACCTGATATATTGGGCGTATCGGGGATATATTGCCAAAATTACCAAAAAGCGGTAAAGAATATTTAGACCATATTGTTTTGCGGTGAGCTTAATAAAAGGATATATCAGCCGATATATCGTATTATATTGGGAATATTTAAAACAATAATTATATCAGCGGGGATAAAATAATACCATGATTGAGCAATAACTGTATCACTGCTATCAGGTGTTCTTTGTGTTCTTCTTTAATTTTTGTGAACACTAGAATATAGGGGTGCATTCGGTCCGGATACGGTTCAGATATAATATTTACCATGTCCATATCCGCTTTCTAAAAATGAATACAGATACGGATACAGATATGCATCGGTTAGAAAAAGTTAAGACCATATCCGCGCTAAATGAAAATGGATACGGTTTGGATATTAGAGAATCGAATACAGTTATGATTATGGATACAAATCGCATATTTAGGAAATATATATGACTTAGACATATATCAGATATGACAAAAAATATATAATCACATAGAATAAGATAGTACATACAGATGAAATCACTTATCTAATCTAAACCTTGAACTAGTGTCTATACTATAACAGTTTTATTTAGCTTATAGCACTAGGATTTTAGTGACATGTTGATGGGTAGTGGGAAAAACAAAAAAATTGTCTTAAGTAATATGCGAATTAGATATATATAGTGTGTTTATTTGTAGCTCAGCAGTTTGGTTAATTGCCTTGTAACTAAATGGCCAAGGTTCAAATCCTAGCAAGTGCATTATATTGTTATTCATATTTTTTTCTTAAAATAAACATCGGAATATCTGAACCATATCCGCTAGTTGAACCCGATTATTGTATCCGGGTAAAATAGGAAAATCATATCCCGAACCGAAACCGTATTCGGTCAGTGTTTCAGATTTTGTGTCATTATCGGATACGGTTGATGTCAGTTCGGATATATCCGAACCATTTAGCACCCCTACCAGAATGTCATCAATGTAGACAACAACAAAAAGTAAATGCCCAAAAAAACTATTCATCCATTTCTGAAATACTTGGAGTGCATTTTTAGGCCAAAGGGCATGACGTTCCATTCATAATGTCCACCACCGGGGCAATTGAATGTCGTTAGCCTTTTTCTTTCTTCATCCTTTATTTTTATTTGCCAGATCTGACATTGCCTCATTTGTATGAGTTTTCTTTCTACGTCAAGGTCTAGTTTATCTAAAGGTTGACCACAAAGGTCTTTAACAAGTTGATTTATTATTATAGCTAGGGCATCCTTTAGTGTTATATTTTTTATTTTATCTTTATTGTAGTTTTTGTGAGTTCTAATAACTTTACCCAATCGACAATCATGTTGTCAAACTGGGAATTATGTATTCTACAAATCGGGGTGTATTCCAATCCTAGAAATGTGTTAACCCAAGAATATGTTGGATCCATCTATTAACATACTTTATCCTTTCTCTAATCAGAATGTTTTCTATGTTAAAATAGAGTCCTTCCTTACTAACAAGATTATGAATTGCAGCTTCCTCGTACATGCTTTTAAATTTAGATCTAATATGGCTCGGTAGATCTCCTTGTGTTCCTTGAGAAGAGGATGGCATAGATACATGTCTATTCATTTTTGGTATGTCAGTCATATTATTCCATTTATTAGAACTTGCCAAATTATCCCATTGACCAGTTCTACCTCCAGTTTGCTCATGTTGCGGAGATTGAGTTGGTGTAGGTGGCTCTTGTGGAGGTGGCCCCATATATCTTGCGACATGTTAATGACAAAGGTGTCTTTATATTCCATTATTTTAGATGATGAGTTATTTTGACTATCATTAGAATAGTAGTTTAGTAAAGAACTACTATTATCTAATAGTTGATTTGCTTGCTGTAAAGCAGCAACCTCTGTTTGAGGGTCTTGTACCTGTTATGTTAAGATCTGTATTTGTTGTCTTAATACGATCCTATTTGAAGGACTAAAGGTTTCCAGTTGAAGGATACATGTTAGACCCTTCATATTCATCATCATGTTAAGATTATTTTAGAATATCATATTATTAATAAGAAGAAAAACTTACAAAGCTTTATTATAGAACTCCAGGCCGGCTGGTTGCAGGCTCTGATACCACTATAGGAACACACAAGTTTACAAGCGCACTCTTTACAATATTCTCTCTACCTATAGAAACACACAAATTTACAAGCACATTCTTTATAATATTTTCTCTCTAATATTCTTTTTAATTTTTCTCTTTTTTTCGATGATCGTACAAATCCTGACTCCTTTTTATAGACGAAAAACTGACTTAAGGAATCTTCAAAGTTACTTTACAAAAGTAGCTTTGCAAAAGTAACTTTTTAAAAGTAACTTTTTTACAAAGTAACTTTTCGAAAGAGTGACGATTCATCTTGTTTCCTCTAAACTTGTTCTCGGTGCTCTTTTTTTCTTTAGCATCGAGTAGGTCCCACCATATTTCTCAGTTCGATTCTGGAGCTGTATCCTGATCAAAGGATCGTGACGAAGGCGTCCTGTGCTCATCATCAATATATATTATTCCTTAGCTCGGCAGGCGACCGGTCCTAAGACCATAGTCTCTTCGAACTCTTCTTGCAGTTCTTTTTCTTTAAAAACCAAATTAGGGAGATAAATAATAATATGATCTTTTATTATCATTTTCTCGTTATTGTAATGTAGTGCTTCAAAGAACTCGCTTGCTGCTAATTCTTTTCCCTCAAGATTATATTCATTTTCATTGAAGGGTTTATGCATGAAGTGAGGTTCCCTTGCTAGGGGGTCTATCCTGAGGTTCCCTTGCTAAGAGGTCTATACTGCAGATTTGATAGGAAGGATAGAATTCAAACAGATTGCATTCTTTCCATATTGACCATATAGAATTCAAACATCTTTGAACTGTAGAGACTACTTTATTGTATCCATCAGTAAGCATTTTTTCTGGATTAATAAAGAATCGGGCAATACTTTCAATATCATGTTCCTCAATATCCGTATTTAGATGCTTATTGATGACTTGAGCAATTTGTGGTATTAGGAAAGTTTCTTCCATACATTTTTCCTTTACTTCAATATAGGTGCTTTGCCTTTTGGCTTTTTATCTTGCGAAGAACTAGTCATGCCTGAAACAAAAATCAGCACCAATATTAGTGAATACAGGAATATAGCGAACATCATAAATATAGTTCTCTAATTCCATGGACCATCTTATTCTGCGTACATTTTTCTCAATTAAAGAAATTATTTTCTTTTTAAGAAATTGTGCAACAACTTGATTATCTGTCTCAATTACAGAGTTACAAGCACTTGCTCCACATGCGTAGAGACTCTACGGAGTCACCAACAACCTAGGATTTGGCTTCCATGCTGAATTTTGTAATTGATCTAGTATACCCAATTGAGGATATGAATACAAATATCCTAAATCTTCAACATCAAATTGAAGAAATTAAATATTTGAAAACAAATGGTATTCAAAGAAAAAATAAAAGTCCAAGCCATAACAACAAGAGTCCAACTCGTATGTGGCACTAGACATATAATCTTAACATGATAATGAAAACGAAGGGTCTAACAGATATCTTTCAACCCAAAACCTTTAATCCTTCAAATATGGTTGTGTTAGGACAACAAATACAGACCTTAACACAATACGTACAAGACCCTCAAACAAAGTTTGCTGCTTTACAGTAAGCAAATCAACTGTTAGATAATAGTAGTTCTTTACTAAACTACTATTCTGATGATAGTCATTCAAAATGACTCATCATCTGAAATAAGTGAATACGAAGACACCCTTGTCATTAACATGGCGCAAGATGGGGAATCTTTTGTGACAGGACTACCTCCACAAAAGCCACCTATGCCAACTCCATCTCCGCAACAGGAGCAAACTGGGTGTAGAACTGTTCAAATGGATGATTTGGCTAGTGCTAATCAATAGAATAATATGGCTGGCATATCAGAAATGAATAGACCTGCGTCTATGTCATCCTCTTCGCAAAGAACACAAGGAGATCTACCAAGCCATATTAGATCTAAATTTAAAAGCATGTACGAAGAAGCTGCAATTCATAATCCTGTTAGTACGGGAGGACTCTATTTTAACATAGACAACATTCTAATTAGAGAAAGGACAAAGTATGTTAATAGATGGATCCAACATATTTTTGGGTTAACACATTTCTAGGATTGGAATACATATCAATTCGTAGAATACATAACATCCCTATTTGACGGCATGATCGCCGATTGGGTAAAGTTATTAGCAGTCACAGAAGACTACAATAAAGAAAAACTAAAAAAATATAACACCAGAGGCTACTCTGGCTGTAATAATGAATCAACTTTGTAAAGACCTTTGTGGTCAACCTTTAGATAAACTAGAACCTGACGTAGAAAGAAAACTCATACAAATAAGGCTATGCCAAATCTATTACGTAAAAGAATTTTCAATAGATTACTTTAGACTGGTCTATCGGCTTGAAAACAAGCAATGAATGGACTAGTGGACAAAGCAAATATTTAAGAAATTGCCTAGACCATGGGACACTCTCTTAGAAGAATATTTGATAAAAGTTCCTAAACAAGAAAGGTCTAGTGGTGTGGTTCAACTCTTTATACTAAGAGAACTAGAACAATATTGTCAGCTATCAAAGGCATTTAAACAAACGAAAAGCCAACTCAAAGAAAGCGTCCTTGGGCTGTCTTGTTGCGACAAGATACAAGGTTATCCTTTGGAATATGGTTGTTCTCAACATTACCGAAGAAGGAAGCCTTATTAAAGGAAATTCCAAATACCATATAAGTTTAGAAAGCCGAAAGTTTTCTAGAGAAGAAAACAACTCAAAAAAAGGTTAAACCCAGGGAAAAAATTGTCTGGCTATATGTATAACCTTTCACCTAATCTCAAATTTCTTTCCTTTTTAACTCACATATTGTATTCTATCACAGTATGGAAAGATCTTGAACTGTTTGTCTCCATATCTCTCCCTCTTATATTAGTCTGTAAGGTCTATGGGTTGTAAGCTTTAAAATACCATACATTTAATGTTTTATTCAGCTAATTCATTGTCTTAACTTCCAACAAGATGTGTAATATTTCATATTTCTTGTCAGGGAGTAGCTGATTTTGAATGTTCTTTTGGTTTGTTTCCCTCGTGTGATAATACATGTATGTATACAAATGTGCTTGATTTCATCTTAATGTAAGGTTTACTTTCTTGTAGGAACTTTAACACCATTGAGGATCCACTTCTCTCAGATGATAGAGGAAGAGATGAAGGCCCTGCTCTTAAATTGGTATGAATTATGTTCGCTAATTGGTCTACACTTCTTTCTTATCTTATGGATAGGTTAAGTATTTGCTTATATTTATGGGGGTCTGTGTATGCATTTCTGCCTCATGAATGTTGTGTCTTATGCTAGAAGTTTAGCATTGTCACATCTATAATGATGTGTTTGGTTAGCAGAACAACATATGCACTTACAATACCATGTAGTTTCAGCACCTGCTGTTCTACGCCCTTCATTTGAATGCAGCAGAAACTCCTTTATTTTTAAGCTCATTTTGGTGTTGCAACAACATCCGATTAAACATCTATATTTAAACTTAGATGTAGTTGGAACAACATGAGGCTCCGCTACACCCAACCAACACACCCATATATCAGTTATTCACTAATATTTTCATGATATTCTACTCCTTAGATCTTTACTACTGATATTTTCCTAACTCCCAAACCTTTGACTTGTAGAAAAAAAAGACAGGTAGTTCAGGAGGTCAAGAATAGAATGAATGAATCTTAATTTGTTAATAAAATGACTATAATGGTTACAGTAGATGCCACCGAATATCTGTTTTTCATTGCTTGCATTATCAAGTAATAAATCATGCAATGTATTTTGCATATGCGAAGCATGTACTGAGTGTTACTATTGCATGCAAGGATTGCACTTCTGTTCGCGTTGTAAATAATGCAAAATATTAACTATCAATCAACAATTTCATATCAACTGCTTTATGATACTTGCTCAATCATCACTTCTGCTCAATCCCCGTGGGGTTTTCTTTGAAATGGCCATTTTGTCATAGTCTGCTCTTGATATAGAAACAAGATATAGGAAAATAACATATAACAGGAGCCTCTCATGGATGATTTAAAGCAATAGTGTTTTTTCATGGATACTATGTTCAAGTTAAGAAGGGGCTAACGACTGTTGCTGATGGGTCTCACTAGTTGTCAGCATGGACAACAGCAGTTATTTCATTATATCATTTAAGAAGTAATTTCTGAAAATAATATATTTCATATCTTGACATGCTTCTAGCATGTGGCACGAGGTAAAGTTACAAGGAAGTGTGGATAATAAAATGTATTACTTTGTAGAAGCTATGTTATGCTGTCTTGTGTTATGAATTTGCATGATGTATACAGTCATTAAAACTTAAAATACAAACTTTGAGCAACATAAAGGAGAACATTAACTCAAGTTAAAACTTAGAATGCAAATATTCTCTTAGTTTATTTAGTCATGGAACACCATATGCATCTAAATATCTCCAATCCAAATAAGGTCTGCTGTGGAGCACAGCTGTACAATAGAAAGTTAGATGGAAGAACGTATGTAATAAACTAGACAGGAAAAATCTATACAACAAAATAGATGCAAAATTTGTTGGACCAATTTTTTATGTATGCCCAACATTAACCTTAGAACTTAGAAGCAACTCATTACACATTGGACTTGAAATAATATTCATCAAATCCACAACTAGATTTTGGTTCACCATTGGGGCCATGCTTAATATTATATGGTTGAAGTGGGTTGGAAGTCCTAGATCTAATTCCTGTAGCTAGCAAAGAAGACTTTTTTTACTGAATCGGTTAACTGGAAAGTAGTTTGTGACTGCTTGGTCACTGGGCCAATCTTTTAAATGTTTAAGAAAACTATATGGTCATCTCGTAACTTGTTTATTCGCCGAGGAATACGATTTTATTATTTTAACCAATTCCTTTTGTTATAACTATGACATAATCACCATTTGGTGATTATACTCGCTCTTGCAGGGTCTGAAAATTGTCAGTTATTGGGACCTTTTAACTTTCAAGTTTGTCAATATAATGATGGACCATGGTGTCATGAAGCAACTTGATTTTGAAGATTTAATTCAATTACCTTGTGAACTCATGCCACATTGTTGCCATACTACTATACTAAGGAGCTGGGCAGCTGAGAAAAGTAAGCGTTACTCTCAGCCATCATTGTTTGGAACCATTTTTCATGCTTATGGGTGGCCATATTTATGTCTAGGAGTACTGAAGGTATGCCAATGCTTATATCACTTCTCTTTTGAGAATTTTAATTTACAGTTTATACAATTACATATTCTTTTTTCATCAGGTAAAAGGAAGATTGATGTAGTTAGTCTTGTGAGCATCAAGGAAGCTTATTAAAAAATTCATTCCTATATATTCTTTTTAAGTGCATGATATATGCTATATTCTGTAAATTCATTTGGTTATAGCAGCAGAAAATTTTCATATCTAAAAAAATCAAATTTCTACACTTCACTTGCTATTGAGTTTCTTTGCAGATTGATATTCAATTTTTAGTCACGTCAAGGGAAGTAAATCCCCAATGGAACTACTAGTCCTTAGGTGGTCATTCTAATTTTTCAGTACCTCATATCAATCAGATTCAAACTGCTCATTCTTTTCTTAGCGAAGTGTAAAAATTGACCTCTTTCTCTGTATGTCCCGCAGTCTTCTCCTTGGATTGGATGGAATATGAGCTACAACGATGATATCCAAAGGAGGAGGAGGCATAGTGATGAAGCAACGTTCATTCAAGAAAACTAAATGCATAAGAAGCTTTATCAAACTCAAGCTATATCAAGACTCAAAGAATTGTAATCTATGTGAGGATATTAGCTAGTTTTTATTTTCTCTCTAGTGCTAAAATGTAAGCAAGTAGTTTAGATTTCATTTGAAGCTATTGGGATATCACACATACGTTTTCATACTTATAGTTTTGAGCGTTTTCACAAAATATTATTTTTCACAAGTATGAGGACATATTGGAAAAATTCTTTTTTAGTGTCAAAAACATTTTACAGAGTTTCACAATTTTTGGAAGTCAATTAAATATTTTACAGAATTCCAAAAAATTTAAAATAAATAAAAGAAAAAGAAAATGGCTCCTTTCGGAACCATTCAGTTTCAGTGACCAGGTAACCTAATTTAAATTTCACTCTATACATATAGGTTTGCATTGTGAAGACAGCCTTTAACCCATAAACAAATTCGTTTGAGTTTCCGTTGTCCTTAGTTGGCAAAAGGCGGCTTAATGAAAAAAATGGAAGGCTATTTTTGTTAGTTTCTACTCGCTAGATACATTGTGATACATGACGATAGTTAGCCGTTGATCAGGAATTTTATAGATATACTGGTATCTTTATAATTTTAGTAATATTTGATGTAATCTCCAATTTTAGGTATATATTCTCCTTAGGATTTGATATAGGATTGTTTGGATCTCTTAGATTTGTTTTGTTAGAGCTTTTATTTTTATTTTCCTTTTTATTAGTATTTGGTTAGGATTTTATTTACTTTCCATGTTTAGTTTTTCTCTATAAATAAAGTTACGATCCTCCATGAGGAATTAGACTATGATTAATGAAAAGAAAATTTTTTGATATGTGAAATTTAGCATGCGAAGTGCTAAAATTATGACATGTGAAATGTCGGGGTGTGATGCCCTTTTAGTTTGAGGCCCTTTGTTTATCCTAGCCCTCCAATTACAATATCCATCAATCAACATTTGCTCCTCAAGCATCTTAGCCATTTATCCTCTCATCAAAAGATCACCACCATTCAAAAAAAAAAAAAAATCTAAATCCCCATAAAAAAGCCCCCCAAAAGTCTGACACTGTTCATGGTGAATTGCAAAACCCATTACTGTTCTTTGGTAAAGGTAACACACGTACTGTTTATGGGCAAACAGTAATATCAATTACTGTTCCTCATGAATTACAACCTTGTTCTGCCAAGCTATCAAAGATTTCTCGCTTCCAGATCAAAGCTCATTGCTCGCTTCCCATCATTTGGTATCAGAGCCAAAAGATCCATGATTATCAAGAGTAAAATACCATTACCTCCTTCACAAGAATATGATTTCAACCCATTGAAATTTGGTACTCTAGCTTATATTTATGGATTTGATGGATATGAGGAGCGCTATTGTTTGAACCTGGATTTTCAGCATAGAAGGTATATTTTCTATCTATGACATGTTATTTTACAGAGTTTCACAATTTTTGGAAGTCAATTAAATATTTTACAGAATTTTTAAGAGAGTCAAAATCAGCTTTTCTGTATGTATCAGTTTGCGGTCGACCGCCACGGTCGACCGCGCCTGAGTTCATTCGTCTGTGGGCAGCAAAAACTTTCACGGTCGACCGCCGTGGTAGACCATGAGCTCAAGATTTCCCACGATCGACCGCCACGGATGACCGCAGAAGTCTCTGGACTTTTTCTCTGTTTCTGAGCTGTCTCGCGGTCGACCGTGAAAATGGTACGGTCGACCGCCGCTTATTTTCAACGGTCTTTTGGTACAGATCTCTGCGCCGATTATTCCTTGTTTTGGAGGATTTGGGTATGTGTTTAAGCTGCTGTGTTTTCTTCTATTTAAACCCCCCTATACCCCTTCTTCTTCCTGTCCCAAGCCATTGAAAAACAGAGATTTTCTTTACTGAGAGCTAAAAATTCCAAACCTGTTTTCTGTGTTTTTTAGTGTTTACATCCCAGCTTCTGTGTAATCTTTCTCCTTGCTATAGGGACATTGTAAAGAGAGAGTTTTACACCATTACTACTATTGAGAGCTTGATCTTGTGAAGACCAACTGTGTGAGAGTGTGATCTTGTGGTGATCAACTGTGTAGTTGTGAGATCTTGTGGAGATCGTTGTGTAGAAGAAGTTCCGGCTTCTAAACCGGGTTGTGTAGTGGATTTCTCCTCGAGAGTGGGGAGCGGGGACGTAGATCAGCGGGCCGAACCTCGTTAACACATCGTGCGTCACTTGGATAACGATTTCTCACTCTATCTCATTTACATTTGTTGTTCATTACTGTGGTGTATTGTTTGCCTTATTTTTATTACACAATTATAGCCTTAAGACCTTAATAACCCCCCTCTAGGGTCTAACAGATATTTATGTGTTTGTACTTATGGATCATCTATTCGCGCTTTATAATGCATTCTATGAGTGGTTTGATCAAGTTCTTAAAAGAAAGTTTTCTTTATTGATCTAACATCGTTTTTGGATTTAAATCTTGATTTATGATTTCATTTGAGTGATTTGTTTTCCCTTCTTTTGATTTCATAGATCTATCTTTATATACTATGTTTTTATAGTTGTGTTAATGAGACACTATTTTTATTTTGATGCATCCACATGTGTTCTCATTATCTTAATGTATGTGAGTAAATTTTTAGCATGCTCTTATCTATGCTTGCTCACATGTTTTGCCTTGATCTTTATTGCATATATTTTATATGGAATTTTGATAGGGGGAGCTAATCCCTATACTTGTTTTATACTCACATATGCATATTGATAGGGGGAGCTTTTGCTCTCTTCATTCTTTTGTCCCCTTTTTGATGTTGTCAAAGGGGGAGAAATATTATGAGTATATTCTTTTTGTTTATATACATGATAATTACAATATTGTATTTCATTTCTTTTTCATGCATATATCCTTTTTGTAAATTGTTTGTCATCATAAAAAATGGGGAGATTGTTAGCCTCTTTGTTTTGATGATGTTTAACAAACAATTTACTACTAATGTTGTTTGTCTAGTGAGTAGAGGCTCAAAAGAGAAGCTATAAAATGGTGATCTAGAAATTATTCTAGTTTTCATTCAATTAATCGTTCATGAAAATCTATGAACGCTCTTATGGAAAAGAGGTACTCCTGTAGTCCATCTAGAAGATATTGTTTCTTTTCAAAACCAGAAACAAAGCTAGCATGAGTACCTCAACTCCAGCTAGATATGGACTCGCAATCAAAACTTGAGTTCAATCCAGAGTCAAAGCCTGAACTTCAGTCAGAAGGAAAAGCAAAAAAGGATAAAAAATTGAACCAAAGCCCAAGCCTAAGCTTGAGCGAGAAGAGGAACCAGAGCAAACTATCGATTCAGAGCTTGAGCCTGAGGGAGAGACGGAACTTGAGCTCGAGTCGGAAACTGAACCACACCAGAAAATTGATTCAAAGTTTGTGTTTGAAGTTGAACGAGAGCTAGAACTTAAGCTAGAAGCGGAGGTTGAGCCAAATGTTGATTTAAATCCAAAGCTTGAATCAACTCCAGAGCTTTAAACCAAGTCAAGACTAGAAGTCAAATATAAGATCGATACGTGGTGCAAACTCCTGGTCCAGATTAATCTGAGGACAAATTTTTAAAAATATTATTTTTTAAATTTATTCTGCAAAATCGATCTTTTCAAAAAAATTCAGCAAAACCGACCATTTTCATCTGAAAAAGGTCGGTTTTGCTGAACGAGTGTTTTTGCGAACTGCACAGGACTAGTCCTGTGCAGTTCGTTTTCTGTCTCCGAAATAGTCCGAACACCCCACTTCTTCTTCGTCTGGATCTTCATTGATCTCTCCTTCAAATGGCGACTCACCATCAGCAACCCCCATCGTCAACCCACCACTCCCTCGCCTTCCGCGTGATGCGGCTCTACCGCCCCTCCTTCTAACTAGACAACGCCATCCCCACCTTGACCCCGTCGACCTCCTCGCCGGCGAGGACCTCATCGCTGCCCCCGGCATCCTCTCTTCCGTCGTCCCCGCCGCCTCCGTCGATTTCAGCTTTCGCCACCGCTTCCTGCTTCAAAACCCTATGGACGCCCTCACTCAAGCAGCGTAGTCTTTGTTGATTAGATCGCCTCTGCACTGAAAAAGCTTAGAAATTGATCGACCCGTTAAGGAGGACAAAGTGGTCTTGTAGAATTTGGAGCTGGTTGACTTGGCCGTGAGAGATGAGGAGAGCGTTGCTAGGGTTTGGGCGCTGCCGCCATTGCTGAAGCTCTGGCTCGTACAACCCTTGTAAACGAGGGTGAAGAGGTTGGCAACTGAGATTAGGGTGAAGAGGAGAGAGAGGAGGAGGATTGAGAGACCCATCTGGGGTTTCGATTTTAGTTTTGAATTTTGGTAGGATTTGGGGTTTTTTTATGTGGGCCTAAGTTTTCAAATTGCACTGGACTAGTGGTCCTATGCAGTTCGCAAAAACAACCGCTCAATAAAACCGACCCTTTTCATCTGA